TTTTTTTTGTTGTTGTTGTTGTTGTTGTTGTTTACTATGTATATAGTTTCTTGATTTATGTGTGTCGTCATCCTTGTTTGCAGGGGCCATGCTAATCTTGTCTGTATCGTTCCGAGTTTAGCCGATGTCCCCAACGGCAAGTTGTAAGCTGTGTGCTATACCCATGTGGTGTGGTGATTGAGTCTTGACTCCAATTGCTATAATTCATCAAGATTGTCACTTTCTCTCTTAGTTTCGGTGCTGAGTCTGCTGACTTCTATCCAGCACATTGATTCAAAAAGGAAAGAGAACAAGCTTCAGCCTTTTTTTTTTTAAGTTGTTTTCCCCATGTTCTTGCCTTCCCTCCCTTTTCTCTGTCCTTTCTTTTTTTTTTTTTTTTTTTTCCCGAATGCAAGGAAGCCGAACTGGAGAAACTCAATTTAGCAGCACACTAAACTTTGCCGAACAGGATTTTATAGTCCGGCAAGAGAACAGAAAAAGGTTCGGCAAGAGCTGCCAGTTCTATAGTTATGGGTCACACCGACGCATTAACTCACACACAAGTCTATAGCTCGGCAGAGTTTAGTGTGCTCGTAAATTGAGTTTAGTGTGCTCGTAAATTGAGTTTAGTGTGCTTGTAAATAGAGTTTAGTGTGCTCGTAAATTGAGCTTAGTGTGGTTGTAAATTGAGTTTAGTGTGCTCGTCAATTGAGTTTAGTGTGCTCGTCAATTGAGTTTAATGTGCTCGTAAACTGAGTTTCTCCAGTTCGGCAGTTGTCAGAAACGACAAAGCAAGAAAGGACAACTCGATAGGGTTTTTGATGATGAAATCCGACAATCAGTAGAACCTAATAGTTTGCTGCTCTCACTGGTTTCTCTAGCAGCCTATGTGATCACCTACTCTATCTACTACCCTAGTCTATACTACGCCAATGTACAATGACCAGAGAGTACAATGCTGAACCCACCGACGCCTGATCGCAGGAAAAAAAAAGGAAAAAACAAGAGAATGCCCCACACTGAAGCTCTTCTAGCGTATGTTTCTTGCCCAGAGAGAGAGAGAGAGAGAGAGAGAGAGAGAGAGAGAGAGAGAGAGAGAGAGAGAGAGAGAGAGAGAGAGAGAGTCACATCTGTCCTCCTCCTCTCAGGAAGCACTCAATATCAGTCAGCACAGCCAGAAACTTGTTTCAGAGGGTCACCGAAGACAACTGATCTTTTTGAGAATGTGCAGAGAACTTTCAGCAAGCATAGCCACCAACTTGCCACTGAGAATTCTCACCAAGCACTCAAAATTGGTTGTATAGGGTCGACTAATGAAAGATCATGGTTGTTCTAGCAGCTGCTATTGCATGCATAGCCAACATTGGCCGTGAGCAGTATTCCTCATAGGCAATATTGTCTATAGCATGAACCTCTTGCTATAGCCATAGCCCATATTGGCTATTGTCCAAGGAAGCCAATATTGGCCACAGCAGGAACCTCTTGCTATAGCCACAGCCCAGATTGGGTATGTCCATAACAGGAATATTTTGCTATAGCCATAGCCTTTATTATTGGCCATAGTAAGAACTTGTTTCTATAGCCATAGTCATAGTCAATTTTGACTACAGCCCATACAGCCAGTTTTGAATCTAGTTTTTTTTTTTTTTTTTTTTTTTTTTGAAGTCCAGATCATAGTAGAGGCTGGATGCTAGGCCTCGGGAGGTGCCTGTCGTTGTACTCGACCAGTGGGGAGATCAGATGGCTTGTGACAGTCCCGAGGACAGTCTCCTCCAGTCCCGGGGCATCATTCGTGAACTCCTTTTTTTTTGTTATGCTAATCAGATAGCAAGTTGAGCCCTACAATGTGCGACCCAGACCTGTCTCTAGACCTAGACCTACACCAACCCGTGTTTTCCGAGGGTCTCAGATGAGTGCCCTCCCCCCCCAGGGCGCTACCATAGGTTCACCCCGAATTCTCGAGGACGATCCAGGACATAGGAGGGGTCACGGATATTATGTGGTCATTCCCCACCTGTCTCACATCTAGCAGACTCTATGGGTTTCTACCACCCTCCTACTATCAATGCAACGACCCACCCTCCCCTGCCTAAGATGAGACCCCTACCCAGAGGCCCTTCCCCAGATTCATGCCCCAGTCGACCTCCTCGATGGGAACGCAGACAGGTACCAGCCCAGATGAAGCCGAGCCCGCAAGCATTGTAAGATAGACATGAGGCCCGCCCTTTGGAATCGTATATATGCCTAATACCCAACCCTTACTACTACTCAAGGGGGCTGTAGAGAGCGGAGCCAGACCGCAACCAGGATCGTACAATGTAAGTATGGACTCTTGCAGGTGTACCATGAAGCCGGGAAACTAGCACAGTGCACAGACACACCCATGGTGCACCCACAGAACAGTGCATACGAACGAGGCGGTGCACAGACAGGCCCACAATCTCTACACAAATTCCTTCCTAGTAACCTAATCTGGACCTAAGACCCCTACGCAACCTACGTCCTCTACCCTGCCCATGGTGCGTATACGAGAGATGACCCAGAGATCATTGACCCACACACTACACACAACCCACACCCACACCCTCATCCACACACACACACGCACACTCGTCGGACCACCCCAAGGCCAAGCACACAAACAGCCCTCCCCCAAGGCTTTGCTATCAGCATACTGCAACCATGGACTAAACCCCTTGGGTGGTGCGCAGGTAGTGTCTGTAATAATTACCATGCATCAAGCCCAGGAGGAGTGTGTGAATGGCTTGTGCGCTATGAAAGCGCTGCCGGTGTACGTGCGCCAGGCAATGGAGTTTTGAACCCGCAACCTCATATACCACAATGTGCATTTCCAACTGGTGCTCTAGCCACTGAGCCAATGGCCATTCATGATTGAATGTAGTTTTCAATCTACGTCTTTTTTCTTTTTTTTTACCAGTTTTCAATCTACGTCTTTTTCCTTTTTTTTACCAGTGCATTCCGATTTTTTTTAATTTTTTTTTTAATTCAACCCGGAAATTACTGGGGCCATTACCCAGTTTAGGCTTATGCTGGAAACCTCGTCCAGTGTCCCATAGCCTGCAACCTTCCAAACAAAAGCCAAAAATCATTGAAAAATGCCAAAATGGAGTTAAGCACAAGGCAACCAGGGGTCTGGTCCCACCTACAGCGTTGAGTTTTCTCAACGCTGAGCTTTCTATCACGTGTGGCATGGTGGGATGGAGCTCCGCTGTTGATGTATTGCGATCTGATAGTACCGAAATACAGGAGAATAACCTTATTAGATTTTGTCATTTTGTAGAAATTTTCCTTCGACGGGAAATCCGTTTTGTAGTATGCTTTGGCCCTTTTGGTTTGGGCGGGAAACCATTTTCCTTTGAGAAAACTACCCTACCGAGGGTAGGGTACATTTCTCAACTGCAGTGCCTTTCCTTTTTTTTGTTTTTTTAGACMYCATTGCATCCTGAAACGGAGGAACTCTGACAGCTGTGTTTGGCTGTCTGGCATCAAACTCGTTTCCTTCTTTGGGCAATGAATGCATTTGGCCATCCGCGTCGTCCCTGTCCATTTTACAAATGGTGACTTCCCGTCCCCTCACCACGGGGAGTATCCCTTTTTCACGGAGACATTCACTCCGACTGTTCCAGACATGTTTCATTTCTCCGAGTTACGTTATAAAAAATAAGGAGAAAAGCTGTTTCTAGCGTTTTTTTAAAGTTTTTTAATTTCTTGTTTCGAATTTATTAATGTCAAAATGGCGTCACACCGTTAAGTTTTCTAAACTCAACAACGGTAGGTGGGACCAGACCCCAGCAGTACAGAAAACCAGCCTAATACCAAAAGGGAAAAAAAAAAAAAAAAAAAAAAAAACAGCAGAACTTGGACTGGTAATCTGCAATGTTTCAAAAAAAAAAAAAAAAAAAAAAGAATCTACGTCTTCGTCGGGCTCCCAAGGTGGTGGACTCAGGGAAGTCCATGTTGGCAGAAGGAAAGCCAAAGGTTATGACAAGGCAAAAAAAAAAAAAGAAAGAAAAAGAAAAAAATAAAGAGCCGCATGTACAAGCAGGCCGGTGATAGGGATGAGATACATGCTGCTGTTTTTTTTTTTTTTTTTTTTTTGTTGTGAAAGACTTGCTTCTTTCCATTGGTGGGGAGCTGCACCTGTTGGAAGCCAGGTCAAGCATCCCTGCGAAATAAAACCCCATACCCACTCAACGCTACCACGCGCTACGTCGCAGGAAACACTGACAGATACATGCGGCTTTAGAGACGAACGAAGAGCGCATTGGCAAAGAAATGGTGACGAAGCAGCGGAGAAGGAAGATGAGAAGAAGGGTTTCGGATTTAGGGCTTATTCAGTAAGGGTTTAGGGTTTGGGGGTTAGGGGTTAAGGGTTAGGGTTGTTTACCTCGTACCTACAACTCGGAATGGGAGTTTGAACCTGTGGTTTGTTATGATCCTGGCCAATTTCGAAGTACAAATTCATGAGAAAGCACAATGCCATCCAATTGCAAAAGAAATGAATGAACTTGAGAGGAGAGAGAGGGAAATCATAATAATAATAATAATAATAATAATAATAAGAAGAAGAAGAAGAAGAAGAAGAAGAAGAAGAAGAAGAAAGAAGAAGAAGAAGATGTACACCAGCAAAGATCAATGATAATTCCCTTCTTCTCGCCAACCACTCTCCTCCTCCGTTTCTACTCCCCTCTTTATTCACAATAAATAGTAATAATATTATAATAATGTTAAATGTGCAATAACTCAGCTTGAAACATGCAATAGTCGTGAGCCATAGGTCGTCACTTCGATCTAAGGGCCGAATCAGGGGCATTAGGCCACACTCGAGTCATGGAAAATTGCCTGAACCAAGGCCTGCTGCTGTGGGTACCGGAAGCATGGCGGCCTAAAACTGGGCTTCAGAGGCCCTACGTGCGACAGTTGACCGTGGAAAGTCAAAGGTCAACAGCAGCTCGGAAATTCAGGCTCACGAGTCAAAGTCAACATGGACCCAGCCCAGGCCACCGATCAGACACACACTTGGCTGTTTGCAGGTATCTGTCCATAATCAAGTCCAAGTTGGAATCTGCAACTGTATGAGATCCAGGCCATTGACTGCGGGTCAATCTGGGCCATTGTAGCCGAGAGACCAGAGGCTGGTCAACGGGAGTCAACACTATATGTCGACCCAGCCCCTGCTGACCGACATTCAGTCTTGCACTTGCTGCTTGACGCTGGCTCGATGCTGGCTCGACGCTAGCTCGATGCTGGCTCGACGCTGGCTCGATGCTGGCTCGACGCTGGCTCGATGCTGGCTCGACGCTGGCTCGACGCTGGCTCGATGCTGGCTCGATGCTGGCTCGACGCTGGCTCGACACTGGCTGGATGCTGGCTGGATGTTGGATGACGACACGAGACTGCTACTGCTATGCGCTAGCGCCATTATCTGTCTTCGGCGCCAGCTCTATTCTTGATTATGCTGATGTGTCTCTCGCCATACTGTCTACGACATTGATGTGGTATTGACAAAGAGGGGGAGGATCAGGGCTGTGAGACTGGTCGAGTGTAGAAAGGAGAGCTTACCTGTTCACGATCGTGTCGACATTGCGCTCTGCTGTTGTCTTCAGGAGGAGTCTGCGCCGTTCCATGTTGAGAAGTGTTCGATGTCAGTGTGTGTCAGAGGACACTGTCTGCTGACGTGGCGAGTAGGAGATGCTCGAAGGAGGAGTGGGCCAAGAAGGAGATCTATCTGCTGAAGCTGATGGTTACTTTCCCTTCCACCCTCTCAGTCTAATCTCCCTCTCATCAGTCTCTTGTCTGGTTACTTGACGTTGGACTCTTCATTACATGTATGATTGGAGACATTAAAACTGCGCTGGGACATTCTGTACTTCGACATTGTTGTTGAGCTTTCCTCCTGACTGGGTTCATTGCAAAAGGCTGACCTAGAATCAATGTCCCAATCCCTCTTCTACTGCAGCTACAACATGAGGTCCACCATAGCCATGGTCACCCTTCTCCTTCCTCTTCCGAAGGCCGAGGCTATGGCGGACTGCTAGGGCCTTGCCCTGCTGTGCAAAAGACAACTCGAAGCAGCTATGGCTGCTCTGGCTCAGGCCGCCATGCCTGACTCTGCCTCGAAGCTTCTTGATGTAGCTCTACCCCAACGGGGGCCTTCTAGATGCAGCACCCACCAAGGTGATGAAGATAGCATCCGCCATAGTCAGGTAAGTACCTTTGGCGCTCTCTCCTTCCTAGTCCTCCCCTTCCTCCTCCTCTGGCCTGAGCTTCACCACCATATCCACGGTGGAGGGAGCTAGGCGTGCCTTCTTCCCTCTGCAGCGCTGCTTACTCCAGTGCTGCTCCAGCCAGCGCTCCGACCAGTGTGTCGCCAAACTTGCACAGCGTAAATAAGGAGGACCTCCTTGCTCCTGCGGGAGATATAGCGGCCTCCTTGCCTCTTGGGCGGTGACTTCCAGGCCGCCCGGCCTCCAAGCAACCGGTACCTCCTCCCTTTCGGAGGGAAACATCATTGCAGACTCTGATATTGCACGTACAGGTCCTAGACTCAGACTACTTGGATTGGTCCCCGCCTAGACCTAGCCTACAACTACTGGGGGGCCTCTAAAAATGCCAACTTTGTCTTCTTCTGCTCGGCCTCGAGTACCAGACACATCTACCGCTACTTGGTGTGGTACCGGCCTACCTGTTACTTGCGTGTTTTCTGCTGCTCTAAGTGCCGCGAGCCTTTTTTCCGCCACTTGAGTGTTGTCCCCTGTGCAACCCTCAAAGTCACTGCCACAGGTAAGTACCGGCCCTTGGGCCCCCCCGAATGAACAAGTGCCCCTTGCGGGTCACACACACACTCAAGCTGACAAGCACTCAGACAGGCACGCAGACCAGCAAGCACGCACACACACAGACTTAGAAAACTCAGCAACAAACGGCAATCTCTCTGCAAGGCATTCATTCCATTGGCAAAACTCAGAAATCAGCTGTGTCTCAGTCCGTGTTTGGCAGGTCCTTACCGGTTTGCGGTTTCCTGTGTTGCAGGATGCATACGGTCATATTCGCAGGTGTGTGGTTGGTCAGATATTTGACTCGAGTCCGATTGACCATGTGAGTAGCCTTGGAGTAAGGTTTCTCTCGAGAAGACCGGGTCACCCTGCCTCACCTGTAAGGACGGCTGCTGCCTGGGGCGCAGCAAAGCTCCTCGACTTCTTTATGTTGTCAGAATCTGAGCGGCAAAGGGTCGAACTGCGGCAGACCCAAGTTGCTTCTGCAGTAAGTACCAAGCAGGCCCAAGAGTGCTGCGTTCTTGCGTTGTCTTGTCTTGAACCCCCGAAACCATTGCCTCCTTACCCACATTTCTCTTCCCCTCCTCCCAGCATACCCCTCAGTGGCCTCACCTCCTGTGCCACAGGAATTGCTCACAACTACAGCAAATCCCATTCACTTACCATATCACCTTAACCCATGCCTTCCATTCTCTCTCTCTCTCTCTCTCTCTCTCTCTCTCTCTCTCTCTCTCTCTCTCTCTCTCTCTCTCTGTGTCTGTCTGTCTGTCTGTCTGTCTCTCTCTCTCTCTCTCTCTCTCTCTCTCTCTCTCTCTCTCTCTCTCTCTCTCTCTCTCTCTCTGTGTCTGTGTCTCTGTCTGTGTTTGTCTGTGTCGGTCCATGTGTGTGTGTGTGTGTGTGTGTGTGTGTGTGTGGAATGGGCTGTTTTGGATGGAGCACAGGGAGATTGTACTGGCTGGAGGAACGGTGAGGATCCTGTGATTTCAGTCTGGATCTTTTTTCTTTGTTTTTTCTTTTTTTCTTTTTAACGGTAGGGGAGAGAGGGGGAGGGCGGTGCAGGGAGGAGGGAGGTTCCTTAATAGTGCATTCCGACCTTCCAACTGCCATCACCATGGCCATTGCATGGGTGTCTGAGTTTTCCCAAGGCCGCTTGGCTCTGTTTAAAATTCCACTTCTCGTATTTACCTATTCCCACCCTTCAGGGGGAATCTATTTGACAGCAGAAAAGCACCAAAAAAAAAAAAAAAAAGGGAAAAACATCCACTTTTCTTATTCCGAACTTTTCCGTTATTTACCTAACGGAAAGGGAATCTGTTGGACATGCAGGGTGTTTGGCATCTTTGCATTTTCTTCGCCCGAATACAACGTACTGTCATTATTGATGAATTTGGACCTGAAGATACCCCCAATACAGCTATGATGATTGTATGTTGTATTACAGTGAAGAAGGTTGTAGCTTTCCAATGTTCTCTAACTTGTGTTAGAGCTATCAGGGCTTCGATACTACGATGATAGGATGATCCACTAGCAGAGATTAAGCATTGCTGAGTGTTTGTCTGCAAAATCGACGGTCAGAAAAGCTTAAACCATTAACTGATGTACATCTGGGCCTGGCATCCTGCCACTGCGCACCGAGCTTTTCTGAACCGCCAGCAGCGCAGCGTTTTTGACCTTTTTTGGATGGCGCCGCCATCCATTGTCGGTCCGGTAGCCCTGAGCCTCTGAAATTTCCGTTAGGCTTTTCAGGCCGTGCATTACCTTCTTCCCCCGAATACAACGTAAGGTCATTATAGCCGTACTTAGACTGAAAGACACCCCAAATTCAGCTATAACTGAAAGACACCCCAAATTCAGCTATAATGAGCGTACATTGTATTCGGGGGAACACTGTAGTGGTTTAATCCCAGTTGATGGAAGTGTGCCCCAGAGGAAGTTATAGATTATAATTTGTGATATCATTACTATATCATTATTAATATTTTATTATATGATTATACCATTTCGTGAGTTTCGAGCTCTTCGAAAGTCAGGTTTAGCTGTTTTTAAGCTCGAAAAAATAATTTGTCTTTCGGACTCTTTCCTCAGTTTCCCTGTGACTTTGCTTCTTTCTTTTTTTTTCCTTTTTTTTTTTTGCAATTAAGCTCAGTCATTTATTAAAAGTTGAACACTGGAGACCGGGAATTCCTCCACAAACAATGGTGATACATCTTTTTTTT